CCATATATCATAAGTGCTGGAACATCCAGTTCCCAACTCAGAAGATAACAGTCCAATAAAAATGATCTAATGGCTGGGTTCCAGCCAATGAAAAAGTACACTGTCTTTTGGCAAATTGACTCCGAGCTTGGGTTCTCTAACAAGCAGATGCGTGGAGACAACGCACTTCGCAGGGAGAACGCAGTGCAGTGCATCGGTAAAGTAACGGCGCCGTTGTTGTGTGTGTGCAGTTGAACGATTCGAATGTACGTGAAAGTGGACTGCTGCGTGGTTAACATTTCTCGTCGCGGGATATGCCAGTTGGAGCCGTGTTCGATGTGAATAACGGCAGTGTGCTCTCAAGCAGCCGATGCCACCAACGTAATTACTGGCTCCATGAGACAGTCTGAAATTGATCGTATAGGGTTTAAAGTGTGGAACGAGGTAAGTAACAGCCGCACAGTAGCAAGTATACTTTCCCGAAATAATACAGTAGTAGCCTATGTGGTGACTGAGTCAGAAGCTGCCTCGAAGCAATCGTAACTCGCAGCTACATATCTTCCACTGTGCATGGAGAGAACACAATGAGCTGTGAGCGGTGTGGTATAAGCCAACTGTAGTCCATCTCTTTGGAGGCATAAATCCTAGGGCTGTTGACAATAATGGGGATGACTGGGACCGGAAACATGTACCAATGACCATTAGTTCGGTGCAGTTCAGTTAAGCAGCTATGAGCTGAGCACCACAATGCGGTGAGTCAAGTTATCATAAAGTTACATCACTAAGGTAACGATAAAAAACAGTAGCGAACAGAAGAAGAAAAAGAATTCAGTGAGAAAGCAAAGAGAAGGAAAAAGAATATAAAGAGACCTCCGGGTGTCTATGATCAGAAACAGAAACGAACATAGTGTTGCTGCGACATCACAGCGCAGGGACGTCGACAACTGCCAAATGTGACTTCAATCGGCGCAACTCGCAGTGCGAACGGAATGGTGCCGAGTCATCACACAAATAACCGGTACAGCAGTAATTTGAGCTGATATTAGGCTATTGAAGAAAAACGAATAACAGTAAGGAGCGGAGACTTAGTATAAAACATAAATGCACAATGCGAATGTTCAGCATATCAAGAACATAGTTACAAGCAGCTGTCTATCATGGGAAGAAGATGAGGCAGCATCGGCGAGACAGATTCCAAGTGGCTTTCACTGCCTCGTATCACAATCAGCCATTACCCCATTATACATCATACACCTTACCTATAGGTGGAAAACACCTCAGCTATTGTGTTGGAATACATGAGAAAAGAAAAAGGACGCAAAAGAGGCATGTCAGCTGAGCCATCAGTTACGAATGGATATAGTTCCGGAGGGCAAGGAACCGGCTATTGTACCGCAAAAACAGTGGGATTGTGTCCGATATGAGATCGTGGTCAGAGGAGGTCGGCTCCTAGCCATTTCAACAATCACATTCACCTAAACGTGTTCATCAGCGCGGTAGCTCGGATGCACCAACTGATACCAAGTTCGAATTGACGATCCTCACACTTCTTGAACAAGTCATCACTTGGCTTCCATTCCCTTTCTTCTATCGGGCGCGCAAACAACACACGTCGCGAGAGTCGGTGGGCTGGCATGCGCAACCGCTGGCCAAGTCATCGGAGCGTCGTGCATGAAATAACGATGCTGAGCGGTTTACTTCCTCCTCCTATAACATAAACAAGGCGCCGAACACGCTCACGCGGTGTTCCCGCCAGATATGAAGCAAAGTGTAAAGGCACCGTTGGCCATTTCCTTGCAGAGAACTCAGCATCAAACACATTTTGAACAGGTATAACAACCAGGAGACGACAGCATACGCACTACTAATGCCGATTGCAATTTATGTCCTGCAACATCCTGAGTCATTGTGAAAGCCCAGAGGGACCAACAGCATCCAGTCCAATAGTTTGGGTCTTCATCATTTTCCGTTGCCATCTCAACTTCTATCCAACTTGGGCCTTGCAACAATCAGCATCTGGCAAAAAATGACCCACCTGGGTAGTCGATGAGCGATTATACGTCAAGCCAAGGTACTTTGTTGAAAGGTTGTATGTTTATCATAGCTCGGTGCTAATCTGTTTACCCAATCGTTGCGGATACCCTGGTGCCATTCGACATCAGCAGTGATAAGTAAACAACGACGATAAGGATTTGAAGATATCGCATTTCATCCGACCGAAGGAACCAAATCTCAGTCCCATGGAGTGAGAGACCTCTCACTGTGGCTCCGAAGGAAAGATACTTCTAACTCCAGAGATGTCACTGGTTCAAGAAGACGGTTCTAACTTGTGCAAAACCTAAAATAACATCGGCATCCGTGCGGCTATCCGCGTTTATACAGCTGCCAATACGTGAATCGACTCACTGCATACAGTTCATCACCAAGCGGCTGACGGCCATGTAACGATGCTTTGCACTTTGGAGATATGAACCGAATGCTAAACGATGTAACTACCCCATAGAGTCTATCCAAATTTGAGTAAGCCACTTCGTGACTGTCAAACAACAAGACAATATTGTCCGCATAATCTAGGTAAATCAATTGCCCACTGATCGGTAATTCAATGCCTTGACCGTGGAACACTGCAAAGCATAACTTAACGATGGAACGCAAGAAACGAATTTGGGGAGATTGGCAACTGGCAAACGGCATTTACTGTCAGTGTTCCCATAATATGAAACAATCTTCCGGATGAGTATTGCGAAAATGACAGAGCGAGCGACTGAGTCGAATGCACTCTTGTAATAAAATACTCATAATGAGAAGAGGTAGAACAAGAGATAAGCAAATCGAGGGGAAGTACGACTAACAGTATTGTAGTGGCAGCTTCCGTTTAATGCACCTACAATGCTCAAAACAAATCGAAATAGTGGTGGATCGATTCGGGGTTACATTGCTAATTCGTCCGCCGAGCTGGGTAATATGAATGCAACCGTTGCATCATCAGTTAGGGTGACATCACTGAAGGAGAAAGGACGGTTTCATTGTGAACACTGAACACTGAAAAATAGAGCCCTAGTAGATATGCGTCTGTGTTGCTCCATCGTAATTAGTTCGGGCACGTGCGCAGAGCCACGTCACTGATTCCTGCGCGTTTGCTGCATAGTACAGCTGTGCCATGCGCTAATCGGGTGCGTTACGCTCCCTAAATCTGTAATCCGCGAAGTGGATGTCTAGAAATTCCTTGGACACAGACACCGATTTGGTCTCGACTATCTTGTCTGACAAACTATCCCAATATGTAACCACTTGCCGCTAGAAGCACAGAGGGTGACACATGTTCCAGACCCGGCAATACGGGTTTGTACCGATGGTCGCGAGTACTGCTTGGGGTGGGCACGTGCAACAGTAGCATCAAAATGGGGAACAGACCCAGATGCTAGTCCACTCGAAACCGACAATAGAAGAGGGTGTACAGCCCTAGTCGTCTACATCGGTCTTCGAACGATAAATCCCGTAAATTGGGGTTCAGTCTGGTAGCAACATGCTGCACCCGTTCCAGTCTCTGTACCTCACAAAAAGTGATCGGACAATATGCAGGTAATCCGTACTCGAGCATCGATCTTATGGTGGAAGAGGCGAGTGGCAATCTCTTCAGGTCAAATGCAGAAGCTGCGTCTGAGTGCCCAAAGCATGCGCAGGTAGGTTTTCGTAGTTTTTTGTGTTATCTACCGACTTCAGATCGTAGAGTGAGGGTAAACCGAGATCATTCACTGGAGCTGTGGGATCTGGCGGTTAACTGGTCAGAGTGTGCGTACACCGGCCGATCGACCACTGCAGACCACATGGACAGGCGGTCGAGGTCATGCTGAAGTGTGTCGCCGTCGTCAGGGGCATCAGTTACTCACCAAATCTTCAGATCGTCTTTAAGCAAGACACAATGCGAGTGAAAAAGTTAAGGTACTTCTTCGAGGTGAATCAAAAACAAAATGGGCTCAAGTATTGTGTTAGTGCGTTAGATGGTCATCAGAATGTACCCTCTATTTTGCCAAATAAGGTAGTCACTAGTCCAGTGGTGCAGTGAGACACCAACGGCTCACATATTCAGTATGCTGCGGAGGACCTCATGATTCACGTTGTCGAACGGTTTACTGAAATCAATGTAGATCACATTTACCGGCTTCCTCCGGTTCAATATCTGCAGCCATCCAGTATGCGTAACAGCAAGTTGGTGATACCGGAGTGGCCCTTCATGAAACCGTGCTGTGCGGGCGTCAGCGGGTTTTTTGCGTTCAGCGGCAGCAGTAGACGATAAGTCACGATATTCCTAAGTAATTGACCAAAAACGGAGGTCAGACAAATCGGTTAACAATTGTGGATGACAGCAGCGGGCAAATTCAGGGATGGATGTCGCCAAGTACTAATTATTATGTTACAGACCGGGATTTCGGTAACTGTAACGCCTCAAAAGAAAGCTCTTACCTTTTGTGCGTAAGCTTATTATTGAAAGATTGTGCACTATTAGATCTCGTTAGATTTGTCTTAACTCTAGGCAGTGCTTGCTTATATCTGGCCCCCCGCTCACTTGCTCAGTGAGTTACTGCGCTGACATTCGCTCTTGTTCGCTTCATCCGTCTCCATCTTATTGTATCCCCTCGAATGTAGTCCGGTAGGTTCGATTCTATTTGATATTGATATGCGATTACGCGCCACGGTCGGGAGTGACAGTCACTAGTCCCATATAACTGCCAGTAGCTGCGAAAATATTTCCACGGTGTGGGTAGACTTATCGCTGCTCAATCAGAGCAGGAGTTTTAAAGTTAGACGGAAGTTAGTTGAATCGGAAAATAATGTGACCTCAAAAATAGGAAAGCAAGTCTGTGAACAGGTGATTTCCGTGCAGTCACTCAGTCGAAAGAAGAACAAAAACGGTGCGATCAATATGGCGGCACAACCAATTGTGCCGAGAAAATATATGCAACTGGCTTTCGAGTTCACAATTATTATCTTAAAATATCACAAACGCAATGAAAACTCACCCGAACAGCTGCCGCCATCCTAATGTCAGTCGGGTTATCTCATTTCAGCGTATAAGACAACTCGGATAAAGCGATTTGCTGAAAAGAAACAAATCGGGAATAATATGCCGAAAACGGAGAGAAATCACACTCATGAACATGGTTCAAAGGAACTGAAGAGAAGGTGGAAAGTCCCACTGAAATTTAAAGCACTGAGTTCCCTTTATCATTCTAAATAAGACAATGAGAAGACTGGTATTGCGAGATGGAACCATTTCGTGTTATCTGCTCACTCGCATACTAACAACACAAATACGAATCACGTGACAGAAAAATCGAAGATTTGAAACTGGTCACAAAGGAAATTATGTAAACGCAAGAATAACAGATCAAGGAGCTTGATCTTAGGATCATGAGTCCCAAGGAAGCTACAGGGAGACTGTTAATCGTTTTTGTACACAAAGGATAGGGCGATGCCGGTTAAGTGACACCGCTTCGGAAAACCTCAATGGGGTTATCATTTCGATAGATAACTATAAATGTTGACCTAGGGTCAATCTGATGGCCTGATTCGAGTAGATGTAGAGCGATCGATGATGCCGGCAGCTTAGATACCTTTTCTCGTTCGGTTGCTGGTTGTGTCGATATTTTAGCAATCCGTTTTGAGATATGCTCTCCAATGCGCTTACCCAAGAATGGATCTGTTCTGCTAATGTAACTACTATCGCAGTTACAAACGAATTGGTAAACACAATGGGTTGTGGCAGAGATCAGTTGAGTAGGCTTCAATGGAGGCATAGGCAGCATTTTGCATGCTGCGGGAGTTGCATAACAGAATGGGAAGCAGAAAAGATATCGTTTACAGACAGAATAGTATGGATGAGGGCAATCGCAATTACTAATATTCGTTGTCAATTCTCATACAGGTAGGTCATTCAAAGTCAAACGCTGGTTGACTTCATGAAATTACCCACACAGTGGCACTCAATGGAGACTGCTGGATAAGTGCAAAAAGTGAATGGGAAAAGGTTCCCATTGGTAGTGCGAATAAGATAATAATAATAATAATAATAATAATAATAATATTAATAATAATAATCTGAGTGCTACAAAAATACCGAGTGCAGGACAGAACAAGAATTGTGTAAAACAGCCAAACACAGCGCTCATTCAGCCACCGGTCTTCTTCAATCGGTAGCAGTGGGCACCGGTACTTCAGATCGGATAAC